ACAACACATTTTCAGGAGGATGTGATTAATATGAGCATTCTTGGTCTTGTTTAGGAGTTTGATTTTCAACATAAAAAGGTAAAAAACTGAAAAACTGTTGACAAAATGCTATCTAGCTTGCAAAAGTAATTTTATGTGTGTGAGACTTGTTTAACAGCACAAACATCTCCCCAGATAAATCAGCTCTTTCTGGTCCAACTGTGTTAAAACAAAGCTCAGATTAACAATTGAGTAACAGAGCTTCAGACAGAGCAAAGCCTACAGTTAGCATCATATCCCCAGGGAATGTTAAAGGTGCATTATGTAACTTTTGGTACAGGGTCTGTCACCTGTTTGACTCCATGTTGTTGTTGTTGTTTTTTTCCTGAAATGTTCTACAGTATTAGCTGGATTTATCAGCGGTTTCACTTCGTGGAAACTGTCTGACCTCGCAGCATTAGGATATGTTCGATCGACAATAGGCGGGTACTTTTTTTATTTAACCAATTGCTGCTACTGGGCTGACTGGTATATTAAGCTTTCCCCAAATCTCGCAGGAAGAAGGGCAATACCGTCTTTCCCCTTGATTTAAATTCACCAAACATTCTCTTTGTTCCGGCTTTAAATCCTCAATCTTGGGATCGTTGCCAACACAGAATGTATGGCTTCGTCTACATCCATCTCGACCGCTTTGTTATTGTTGTGCTGTACCACAAAAGGGACCCAGACAAACTCTTGAGTTTGACGTCATGGCTTCACAGCTCTTCACTGATTGGCCGGTGTGCGGTCTACAACTTCCAGGGTTCTTGCAAACCGTCTAGTGTATTCAGATTCCTGACCTAGTCGCTTCAGAGAAATGAAATTGAGCGGAGGCACTAGGTGGCGCCAGCCTGGCTACTACAGTATGGCATTTAATTTAACTATCTCCATGGAGGCAAGTAGGCCACATCACCAAGCCATGCTACGGGTCACATCTGTGGAGAAATAATGCATGTTTTTGCGGTAGTGCTGAGAAATAAAACACATGTACTGTGATTGAATAAATAAAGGATATATTTGCTTACTGCCATACTGTAGAAGCAATAACATCACCATGGAGACAAGCAGATGACAGACCCTCCACCAGAAAAGTTACACAGTGCATCTTTAATGACATCAGCTACAAAGTATCACTACGATCAAACAAAAAAAGAGGCATTATTCTTTTGAAGCAGGTTAAAACTTTCACATTTTGATCCAGCTCTTCCCAATATAGCCTACTAGTAGTTGCACCTAAACAAATTCAAAACACATGTGCACTTCCTCTGTGAACTGTTTCATACCTGGGGAAATGAGCTCTAAAAAAATTATCTCCGCAGTCTTCAATCATGGACGCCCACACAGAATCCCCTATGATAAAGCCAGAGATTTGCAGCTGATATAAAAGTGTAACGTGATTGAGTGAGCGCCACTATCTGATAAGCTCGGCCCGATCACTACTTCCAGTTTTAAATGTCAAATGAGCGGAGCTAAGAGCTGTGATAAAACGCTGGCTCGCTGAGGGCTATCACTCATGAAACCACAGGGCACTTAATAGTCAGAGCAGAGCTGGAGATATATGCGGGCAGGCTGAAACTCTGTGACCTTGTTAATACTTGGTACTTTTGGTAGCTTTGCAGAGACTGGTAGTGATGGGGAGAACACTTTATAAATGTATTTAGTTACAGAACGCTGCAGTAAATGTATTTTGTAATGAATTCTGATACATAGTACTGTATTCTGAGTACTTAGAATATTTTTACATTGAGTCATTTAAATTATAGAGTAAAGAGGCAACATATAGGATTAAAAACAGCTTCACTATTTTTAAAGCATTTCCTACGACTGATTGGCGAAGCAAAAATCAGACGTGCACTAATCACAAGAGCTGCGTTTTTCATATTTCTCACTAGTTTGAAATCTGTATGTGTGATCAAGTATTGCCACATATTCCTTTAATTTTAGAAAAGTAACTATTCTGAAAAAAATAACTGCTGTATTTTTTGGACTATAAAGTTGCACTTTTTTTTTCATGGTTTGGGTGGTCCTGCGACTTATACTCCGGTGCGACTTATATATTAAGACTTTCACACTGACAGCCGAGAGAGGCTCTAGGCTTGTGTGCCAGTATTTGCTACTACTATTACTACTGTACCACTGTACCACTCTACTGCACATGTCTCCTGCAGAAAGAGCCGATGTCCTGCTGCAAGTAGTGAAATATTCAGCCGAAAACCGTAATTGAGCAGCAGAAAGAAAGTTTGGAGTGAGAGAGAAACGTGTGAGGGACTGGCGTAAAGCGGGGATGGAGAACACAGCTTCATGGTAACCGGGAGGGTGCACCATGCAACTTTCCTGGAAGTCACTGGATGGATCGACAAAGCCTGGACTTCAGTGACAACCAAAATTATCCTGTCCGGATTCAGAACAGAAAGGCCGGAATAATTCTAACTGGAACTGATGCCGAGTCTGACAACAGCTACGCAGAAGAAGAAGCAGCACTCCGTTTACTTCCAGAGGTCGTCGAGTTGCTCAGATGGATGAACGTTACATTATTAACACCTATTCAGCCTGTTGTTCTCTATTCTGTTGTTATTACTATAGCTTGCCTTTCAAGATGAAATGTCGGTTCCTGGTCTCTGATTTCATTAAACACACTTCCCCCAAAAAGTGTGACATCTAGTCTGTTGCGACTTATATATGTTTTTTTTCTTCCTCATTACGCATTTTTTGGCTGGTGCGACTTATACTCTGGAGCCACTTAAAGTCCAAAAAACAAGGTATATCTGAATATAGTCACTCAAAAGCAGTATTCTGATATGCATTTTTGGCATTTTAGACTACTTCTCAACACTCATGACTGGTTATGCTAAAAGTATAAAATTACATTATAACATCCCCAATTAAAAAGGAAAAAAAGGAAGACGGGTGTGAAATGAATGTGCTAAATACATGTATACTTCTTTTATTCATTAATTTGCTTGAAATAACTAAATACATGGAAAATGTATTAAATATATTTAGCAACTTAATAAAAAAAAACTACTTATAGATGAAGACTAGAATGTTAAGTTTTTACTCCAGTGGTAAATGGATGTTCAGTCACTTTTACTTTAAGTTTAAAAAGTGTCAGATTTGAAGCATGGTCTCCTCAGCTCTTCTGGCCTTGTTTCCTCTCTGCTCCAGCCCCTGACACACCATTAGAAACTCTGTCTGCTCACAGCGATATATGGGTAATACTCCAGAGGACACAATGTGATAAAGCTTGAATCATTAAAAACTACCAAGAAGCAAACACCCACACATTTCACCCATACACTTTTACAATGTAAGCTGTTGCCTTTCCTTGCAGCATAAGTCCTTTTGTTGTTCTCTCACTTGCTGCAGGCTTTTGTCACACGTCCTGTTGAGTTTGTTGTGATGGATTCAGAGTCGGGAGTGTCAGGCTCCAGAGCAAAGCACTAAACACATTTGACACAAGCTTTTAGCAATACTAATGGGTGTGTGCTTTGAGAGGCTCTTCTCAACTAAAGGTAAATGGTAGCTGTTAACTTGAAAACTATCACTAGATGACATCACAAGGTGGAACAAAGCATTTTGAGCTCTGGAGATGTAGATAGAGTAATAAAAAAGGGTTTCTCAAACGTGTGAATGAAACAAACTAACTCCAGGTATGTTTGTGAGGAGGTAACAACATTATAGCATGGTTAAAAGCCAGAGGTGGGACCAAGTCATTGTTTTGCAAGTCTCAAGTCTCTGACCTCAAGTCCGAGTCAAGTCCCAAGTCAAAGACAGGCAATTCCAAGTCAAGTCTTGAGTCACTGGCCTGTCAAGTCCAAGTCTTCTTTGAGCTTCAAGTCATTTCAAGTATTTAAACCAAAGTACTGATCCCAAGTCACTGACCTTCAAGTCCAAGTCAAGTCCTAAGTCTCTGTCTATATTATCAAGTCGAGTCTCAAGTCCTAAAAATAGTGACTCAAGTCTGACTCAAGTCCAAGTCACGGCTTGCAAGTTCCCACCTCTGCTAAAAGCTCACAAGAGTAAACTGTGTGTAATATAGGGCCTTTAAAGCTCCTCATTTGTATAAAATGACGTGTTTTTCTTGTCTGCAGGCTGTTGTAAACAAATATATGGAAGGTGGAGTTCCAGATAACCAACTAATTGATTAATTGAAAGAATAATGGCTAGATTAAACGATTAGCTATGTAATCATAGTCATAGCCACACTACATTTCCACAGTACAAATTGTCCAAACAAGAACAGAAACTCAACACACCACTTTCAGCTGCTGCAAAAACTAAGCTACCAGAAGGCAAGCCAAAATAAACAAAAGCATACAGACCAGTGAATTACAATTAGCTTCATATTTCAAGTGGAATTATTCTTTTCATTATTCTCATTACAAACTACACAATTACACTAATGAATCATGTGTGGCTTGCTTTTGCTCAAGGTCTATGCAGGAAATAGGTCTTGAATGCGGATACTCTGAGAATGACAACAAAAAGTATCAAATAAACCAGTACACAGAGTCAAGGGTATCGTATTTTATGTATTTTATGTGCCACGCAATAAAAAGGTAATACACCATTTCCTTAGGCACTATGGGGGTCAATTTACTTTTTTTTAAAAGCGTCTCTATGTTATTCGAGCACATTTGTTTTGACTTGCATTTCACTAATTCAATACTTCCATTTCAGCGTACACACAAGACCAGAAGGCAAAGAAAAGATATCATTTTACTATAGGAAGAAGTATAATTATTCTAACTGGCATTTGACACCCATTATCAACAATCTGACATTCTCGGGATCTGCACAGTAGCAATGCTTTTCACATTAAGGTGTGCTGAAATGTTAAATATACACCTACAGCAATGTACATAGACTTAATATCAGTTTTCCAGAGTTGGTTGCCAGATAGTTGAGATTCTTGGCAAACCAACAGGAAATCAGAGACAGGTGAAAAAACAGAGAGGTCGAGCTGAGAACAAATTGTTTACCTTGTAGAGGAGAGCAATTATCTGACGCATCGTGAGCCGGTGGAAAACGCAGACATCATACAGCGCGGATACAGCCAGGACCGTCACGCCGAGTTCTTTCCATAACATACTGCAGGCTGCGAAGACCAGGCTACCAACGAACCAGGCAATGAGTCGCAATGGCCCAGCGTGTCCTCGGAGTTTACAGTGGCGCATGTAGCAGAGGAGAGAGATGAGGAAGAAGAGGGCAGCTCCTTCGTCTGCACGGCCGACCACCCCGGCTACAGCCTCGGTATGGATCGGGTGAGAGGCGAAAAGCAGGCCAGCCAAGAGACTCCACAGACCTCCTCCAAGCAGCAGACGGGATAGTAAAGTGAAGAGTCCAGTGACAGCTCCGTGGAGGACGATGTTGACCAAGTGGTACCCCGAAGGATCCAGCCCACCCAGAGCGTAGTTGAAGCGGAAGGAGAGGGTGCAGAGAGGCCGGTAGGACTTGTGACTCCCGCTGTGGGTGAGCAACGTGCCCCAGAAGTCGTCGTAGAAAATGTTGATCCAAGGGGTTTCAGGGAGCAGGTCCTGGTTGGTTTTGATTGCACGGCTGAAAAGAGAAGAAAACGATTACAGTGTTAGTAAGTAAGTAACAGCATGCCCACAAATGGAATAGCAAAATTATAATCCAATCCAATTTTATTTGTATAGCACATTTTATAAACAAGACAGTTTCCAAAGTGCTTCAAGTAGCAATATAAAACATTTAACTCTAAAAGTCAGTAGGCTTATGTTCCGAATAAAAGGCACTAATAAAAAACAATAGATAAAATGAATAAAATAATAAATAAAAGCAGTACCAAACAGAATAAAATAGATCAAAACAATAAATCAATAAAAATATATAAAAATAAAAAACACAGAGGAACACACAACCCCTGATGACTAAATGAGCAAGCAAATTTGAGCAGCAAGATAACACATTTTAGTCACAGGAACTTTACAGACGTTAAAGATACACTATGTAACTTTTCTCTGTGTTTTCTCTGTAACTTGCTCTGTAAAGCGTCTTTAAGTGTCCAGAAAAGCGTTATATAAAACTGATGCATTAATGTTATTATTATTATTATCATTATTATTTCTAGAGGTGGATACACTACCTGCTTGTCTCCATGGAGTTGCTTTGCCTAAAGAGTTCCAGCATAAGGCATTAAACACATCTATGTTGCATTTATTTAATCACAAGTCTTTGAGTGCTCCAAAAATCTGCATTCTTGCCATAATCAATGTCAAATCTACATAGATCTGAACTCTAACTTGTGATATCGGCTCATATCTATGAAGGTAGATAACTTTAATGCCATACTGTGGAAAATTCCAAGCAGACAATTGTTTCTATGATGACAAGCAGGTGCAGGCCATTTCAGCCACGCAAGAAGGAATTAAAGGCGGCATGTGAAAGAATATTTGCTATTTGTGGCAACGCTTCATATACAGTTTTAAAATCCAATGTTGCTTCACTCTTTAACTGCTCCACCCTCATGCCAAATCCAATAAAGTAAGTCAAAACAGTACTTAGGCAAAATTCAACTATAACAATACAGGAAGCACTGCGATTCTTCAGAACTGTTCTGATTAAATGCTACAGCAGAACGCCACTATGAATTTTCCTTGCAGATAAGTGGTCACGTGGCATTTATACCAACACTGCTTTACAAGGCCCAGATTGCCCAATTTTCCGATCTCTGTTATGATGTTGTTTCCTCATCAAAATGTACCTGGAGGTGTGTTTTGTTTTATTCACACATTTAACACACAAACCCTGTGTATTTAGGCTGACCTTGTGATGTCATGTGATAATACAAGAAGTGCTCCACTGTGTTTTTACATTTCATTCACCCTCACTAAAATCATGTGGATTATTTCAACCCTGGAGTTGCCAATCTCTACTGAACTAAAGGTAAAAGGTATCTGTTAACTTGAAAACTAACACTAAATGACATCACAAGGTGGAACAGAGCATTTGGAGCATTGGAGATCCAGACAAATTAATAATAAAGGGTTACTCAAACATGTGTGAATGAAACAAAACAAAACTCGAGGTATGTTTTGGAGGAGGTAACAATGTTATAATATTACTAAAAGCTCACAAGAGTCAATTTTGTGTAATACAGCTCAATGTTTCCCAAACTTTTTTTCTGGGGACCCATATTTTAAAAGTCACAAACCTTTGCGACCCAAGTCAATAGACGTTATTCGTAAATCACAAAATAAAGGTGGATTGGAGGAGGATGTTTTATTGTTGACTGAATGAACGTGTCTCTCTATTACTCAAGTTTTAAACAATGAAAAACAGTAATTGAACCAGCAATAAAAGGATCTATTTCTTTTCAACATTCAACTGAGCCTTCAATATTGGAACAAAATAAGTACAAAAAGATTAGAAATAATACAAATCATGTCTAAACATTTCAACATTCATGCAGATCGTGACAAGGCGAGTCGACCCCCAAAAAATCTTGCAACTTTGGGAAACAATGTAGGACCTTTAAAGCTTCTCACTGTTCTTCTTTAAAACTACTCTGATTAAACTCTCCAGCAGAACGCCACTATGAATTTTCCTTACAGATAAGTGGTCATGCAGCATTTATGAACACTGCTTTACAAGTCTCAAGTTCTCCGCCACTACAGCCACAACTCTTACAGCTGTGGACTGGAGACATATGCAAGAGCACCACACCCTGCACCACAGAAAAATACATGCTCTGAGAAGGGGAACGCCGTGGTGGTAAAAAGACGCAAGAGAAACTGAGTGAGGTGGTGACAACTGGCACAGACACTCAAAATACACTGAACTTGAATTGGTGCATAATTATATTGGCGTACATTATACCTTGTTCTTTTTGGCAGGCACAGCAGCTAACTAGGAAGCCATGTTGGAGGTGAACTTGCATGACATAACAAGCAGCTGCTACATCTGCCTCAAGCTGTGAATGTCATTGTAGAAGTGGGGGTGTACAACATGGGGTGAAAGCAAATTAAGAGATGGCGTGTTTTTGGAGCAGAGCCAAAATGTTCGGCCCTTGGAAAGTTGTAATAATTTATAATGATTTTTAGAGTTTTTTGACACTTCAACAGGGATGTGCTGAAACGTGTCTTAAAAAATATTACTTGAGGAAAATGTGAAAGGGCTGTAGAAATGACCTAAGAGCAGGGACATGAGTTTCTATTTAAATTTGTCTTTTTCTCTCTATTTTTTATTCACATTTTCATCTTTAAAACAACATGCAAAATGCTATCAATAATACAGTATAGTATCGCAAATAGGGCTGCAAGGATATCCAAGTCTTACGAGACGATATTTTCACGATATACATCTCACGATACGATATTTATTGCGATATCATGGGAAGGTAGGGAGGCTCACGATTAGGGATGTAACAATATCCAAATCTCTCGGTACGATACTTATTTGATATACATCTCACAGTATGATATTTATTACAATATTTTGTGGAGTTACAAAACTGTTAATATGCTACTTTTTCCTCTTAAAATGCCTTGACAAGACTTAATCCAAAGAACTAAAACTTAAAAATGCTTAGATCTGTTATTTCTTCTTATAGTCTACACTGAAATGGAGCAAAGGATCATGGTCTATGTCATTCCCTCTGACTTTTTTTTATGATATCACGATATTTCATTTATTGTTACATCACTAAACATATTTTTTAGAACGTTGCAACCATTTACTAACTTTCTTGAAATGGTCTAAGCCAACCCCTACCTGCCTTTTTATTATTTATTGTTTTGTTTTTTAACTTGTATATCTTTCTCCCCCGTTTACTTATTTATTGTGTGAACCTCTTCATATTTCTTTATTCATGGTTATTCATGTTTTGTGTGTGTTTAATCAAAGCTACAGTTTTTGCTGCATAAAACTGAAAAGGAGGTATACATTTGTTGTCTAAATGGCAGTTCTACATTTACTCACATATCAATAGAAAATATATTAAACCGAATAATTCAGTATACTTCATACTGATAAAAGAATAGGGCTGAGTATCATTAAGAAGTTGCCGATATGATACATACCTCGATACATAGGCCACGATACAATATGCTTCTAGTATATGTAGTGAGCTTTTGATACGATATATTTCAAATCGATATTGATATGGTTCAATAAAAAATATGGCTAAATCAAGGCTGTGATACTGAAAGTCTTTATTAAACCACATCTTTTGCAAAGTGAATATGAAACATGCCCATTTTAATCATGAAAACTGTGAAAATGTCAAATGTGTCGCATGAACGAGTTTCCTTCCTTTAAACAAACAACAAAATTGTAGCGCTGTAACAAATAATTTAGTAAAATATGCCAAAAAATACCCTCAGTGATATATCGATACAATAGCCCATGATATCAATACTGTATCATCACATTAAAACAATACTATATATCGATATTTTAATATCTTTGCACAGCCTTATAAAAGAACATGCCAAAATCAAAACAGAACTTAATTCCGATCACCTCTTCCCTCACACTTTGGGCAGATGTTGAAAGTAAATGAAGTTAAATGTCCTTGTAAATATTGTTGTTGCTAAAAGTCTTAGAATAACATTTCGCTTCGCTTTGACAAGTGAGAACATGAAAACTCATCTATAGAAGTGTTAAGACCACATTCATAATTAACATGCTCAATTAGCTCAGAGTGAGATGGTGGCAGAACGAGTGTTTGTATCCGCTGCTAATACGAAAAGGTGCAATGAAATGTTCCACAGCTGTTCTGACACTTTAAACATAAAGCATCGTCTTGGCAACGGCCCTCTAAACAACTGCCAGAGTGAGATGGCAAAATGCTCGAGGGGACCAGGGTGAGATGGGAATTTCAGCATTAATGGACTCACAAAATGAAAAATGGGAGCGGAAAGAAGCCATTCTACAACTAGGAAAAGATGGGAGGAGACGTGCCAATAATAAGAGTTTACAGGAATATCATGGAGATCACAGAGAAGATTGGATTTCTGCAGGTCCCTGAAGCTACCGGAGACCACCCAGATTAGGTAGCCTATGACTCAGAAGTGCCAGTTTATTTTCACTGACCAATTTGTCAAATGATAACACCATCCCGTCACAAGATGCTCACATAAGAGGCTTCACGGTTCAATTGCATCTCAGAGCCATTTCGGAGTTAAGTGTCTTGTTTTTTCCAGTGCGCTGGATTCACTGACACTCTGCTTCCAAACCGCAAAACCCATTTATCTGGCAGCAGAGAGAGACACAAAAGCTCATGTTAGTTAAGCGTTTACAGCACAAATCCTTAATGCCGATTACATGCAGATGCAGGCTGAAAGTTGACACAGGTGTAGAAGTGCAGGTTCTGTCTGTGTTCTGGGTGGTTCTGAGATACTGTAATTTAAAGTACTGATCACTCATAGAGCACAATGGAATCAGGAAATGTGTCTTTGAAAGAAAAAAACTAATACTTAATCCTAAAATATATTAATAAAAGCGTACAGAGGAGAAGGTAATTCAACAATAAGATAATATTCTTTTCTACTTTTCTACTTTTTATACAGTCAGATTTTTCGCTCAAAAAAGCA